TATCGGGTGGGTTTTAAATACGGTACCACTTAAAGTTTAAAGGCGCATATCTTAAAAGCTACGAGAGCCAGTAAAAATTTTTAACTACGACCAAAAAATTTTTTTTCGAGTTTTTTCGATCTTTTTTGATCAGACAGACAAACAATCCGAAATACGAAAAAAAAATGGAAAAAATTATATTGAGAGCTCAAAATTTGGCTCAAAAATACAGAATTTTTAACATCGGGCCTTCCGGGCCGGGCCCGGGCCTTGAAAACTTTCTCAGGCCCGGACCGGGCTTTGGCGGGCCCGCCCGAAATTTTACAAGTATGGTTTTTTTTTAATTTAGGAAGTAGGGGGTGGCGAAGCTTAAAACTAATTTATCTTGATTCCTGTGAAAGGTACCAGAAAGTAATCAATCAACAAAATGCTAATGATAATTTGATAAACATTTTATCAGTTAACTACTTTTTGATATCTTTCCCAGGAAATGAGATATAGGGGCCTAAAGTTGACGTTCTTAGTTGAGCGACTGGCGGTGGGCATTAGAGTGCTTACAGTAATTTATCTCGATTCCTGTGAAAGGTACCAGAAAGTAATCAACTAACAAAATGTTTATAATATTATGATAAACATTTTATCAGTTGACAAAAGGTTGATATCTTTTACAAGAATTGAGATATAGGGTTTTAAAGTCGGAAGTTAGGGAAGTGGGGAGGGGAGGGAGAAGTTAGGTGCGAGGGGGCTAGAATGTTTACAATAATTTATCTCGGTTACTGTGAAAGATACCAAAAAGTAGTCAACTAACAAAATGTTTATAGTATTATGATAAACATTTTATCAGTTGACTAATTTCTGATATCTTTCACATAGGATGAGATAAATTGAGACAAAGTTTAAAGTTGAAAAAAATCCTATAATTCAAGAAATGGCAGAAATGAACTGCAAAAGAAAGGTTCAAAAATGCTGAATCCTCTAATAATTAATCAATTAAAACTATTTGACACCATCAGCTGATAACAATTCGAAACGAAAAACAAGCCAAACTGATAAAAACCACAACCCGGATGGAATGTTTGCTTTCGGGTTTTATATCATGCCCGATTTTTTCAACTTTCTTCCTTGATTCCTTCAGAAAAAGAGGATTGTTTGAGGAAGATGGTCAGAATGAAATGGTGTGGAAAAAAAAGGATGGTGACCCTCTGAGAAACCTTTTTGTGGAGGCGGGGGAGGAGGACAAAGAGACAAAGATACAATAGGATTAGGAGGGGAAGAGGTTTGGCACTTTAGGTGTGACTAAGTAATCCTACAGTAATCTTGGCATCTTGTAACAACAATACGGTTGGGGAACTACTAACAAAGCAAACAAAGAGGTTGGTTGGAATGCTTATATCATATGGCGGAAGTTCTGGAAAATTCCAAAGTGTCGAACAGTCGAAAAAGTTTAATTTTTGAGTTTAATTTTTCGTGCTCAATTATCTCGGTTTTTATTAAAGATATCAAAAATTTGTCAACTGATAAAATATTAATCATATTATCACCAATATTTCATCAATTGACAAAATTTTGATAGCCCTTATATGAACTGAGATATTTGAGCTCGAAGGGTACGGTATCTTTCTGATCCTGTCTCAAAACTTCAAAATTTGACATTTTGCCTCACTATCGGTTGGAGGGAATCTGATAGGGTCTACAATTCCGGACACCTGGACACACAGACAGACCTACCGTATACTTTCCCTGCGTTCCGCGTGCTTGTTTGCTCTGGTAACACTGGTTTCATCCTCATTCCATCGTCACAAATTTGGTTTACGTCGTAGAGATAATCAGAAGTGCAAATAGAAAGGAATGTGAAATGGGGAAAAATGTTAAAACACCAAAAAAATTAAAAGGAAAACAAAATGAAAAAAGCCTCAGAGTTTGAGGGGATTCTTTTTTCCCGGAATCTTCCAGATTCTTCGAAAACTAACCGTGTACTCCTTCAATCTCTCGTAATCAATCTCCCTGGTCACAAACACTTCTCCAGAATCCTTATCAATTGCGAATGTTGGCTCCTTCTCGGTTTTCAGAAGGTCTTTAATTGAATAGACTAGTTTTCCAGAAGTTTTGTTAGGAATTCCGCGAAGATCAGCTTTCACTGTGAAGATTTTGGTGTCAAGAGGAAGGTTCTGCAAAAAAACACTTGCAGAAAAAAAACCTGTCAACTTTCAGTCAATTTTTCTTATTCGCTGTAAATGATATCAAAAAGTAAACAAGTGATAAAATGTAACTAATATTATGATAAACATTTTGTCAGTTGATTACTTTTTGATATCTCTTACAGGAACCTAGATAAATATGGTTAAAGTTCGTAAGACCAACATTGCATATATGTAGAGTGTCTGCGTCTCATTAGAAGCTTTAAACCCTCATATCTCAACAGCAGTATTAGCTATTAAAAATTGCTAACTGTTGAATTGCTCAGCATAAAATTTTACACAATTTTGTAGTTTACAATTTCTTGATAACTTTACTGGTTCATGAGATATGCGCCTTTAAAGAGGCCCTGACTTCTAGCCATCTTATAGTGTCTGCGTCTCTTTAAAGGCGCATATCTCGAGAACCAAAAAAGTTATCAATTAGAAAAATGAGTTAACTTTTATAGCGATCATTTTTGCAGTTTACAAAATTAAAAAATCATTTACAGTTTTAGAGTTATACTAGATTTTTGCATACTACAGAGGAGCCCAACACTGTCAAGTTTGAGCCAATTTATCTCGTTTTTGTTAAAGATATCAAAAAGTAGTCAGACAAAACGTTTATTATGATGTCAAAAACATTTTATCAGTTTATCACTTTTTGATATCTCTCACACGAACCGAGATAATTGAGCCCAAAATGTCTCCTTACCTCCTTAACCTTGACAACTGCTCCACCGAATTTTGGCTCCAAAAACTCCACAGTCTCCTCTGTGATCACATCCCCCTTTCCTCGAATCCTCAAACTCAAAATCGAGCTAGAATTCATTTTCGGAGCTCCAGAATCTTCTGCGACGACTTCAAACTTATATGGCATCTCCCTTCCCAACCCCCACAAATCTCCGGATACTTGAATTACTCCAGTTGTGGAATTCACAGAAATCACATCTGGCACATCTTCAGAGTTTCTTAGAATTCGATAGCTAACTTCTGATGCCGGCCCAACGTCATCTGAATCCTTCGCATGGATTCGATGAATGACGACGCCACGTGGCCAATCCTCCATAGCTTCGATTTCATACATTGGTTCTTCGAATTCTGGAGCATTGTCGTTGACGTCGAGGATTCTGATGGGGAGCAGGATTCGTTCAGAATTTCCAGAAACATCTGAGATTTTTACTAGGATCGCCATAGCGTCTTTAGTCTCCCTATCGATTTGGGATGCTTCCGAGATGAATATGGAGAGGGTTCCATTGGAATTCTGGAAGGTTTCAGAATTTTAGAGAATCGGGAGAGACTTTTTGAAGCTTACAATTTCCGCTCTGAAATTCTGATTTCCTTCTCCTTCCAACTCCACTTTGTAACTATCGGATCCATCAGGGTCCGTGACATCAAATTCGGCGATTTTCGTTCCAGCAGCCAGGTTTTCAGGGAGAGAAATCTGAAAAAAATGGAGAAAATTAGAGACGCAGAGAAGCTAGGTCCTGGGAATTTTTGTTTGCCTTTAAATTCCGCTCATTTTGATAGAAATTTCATCTTTCTAGCACCATTTTGAAGCGAGTTACAGCAGAAGGCGCGGTCAGCCGGAGGTGGTTGTCGCGCCCGCCGCTCCGCCACCTCTAGCTGAAAGCATCCTCCCGGAAACGAATTTAGCCATAACTCGCTTTAAAATTGAGCATTCTCACCTCCTCCATCTGTCCCATATCCACAACTGGCGCGTTATCATCCACATCCAACACCTTGACCATGAGAATCGCCTCACTTCTGTATCCCTCATCTCCAGAAACCAACGTCAAATTGAACATCTTCTGATTCTCATCCAAACTTTCGAAATCGATTCTTTGCTTGAGTTTTAGCTCTCCAGTCATTTCATCGAAATCAAACGCCTCTTTCATTGGTCCGGAAATTTGAATTTGGCGGGAGTTCTGGGACATATTCTGGCGCGAAACTGCTGGATAGACTCCAACCACTTGACCTAATGCCAATTCTTCCTTGAGTTCCACGTGGATTTCGTTAGAGTCTCGGGTCCATGGAGATGGATAAATGGGACGGGCAGCGAGTTTTCGTTGGATTTCGAGATATTCTGGAGAGGAAATCAGGCGGACGAGGATGGCTGTGGTTTCTGAAGTTTTGGGATTCTTCAGAGTTAGGCCGAGGAGTCGAAGGCTTTTTAGAGATTCTGGAGCAATTTGTAGATGAGTTGGGGTAACTTGGATTGTCGTCTGAAACCATTTAAAAATCGACAAATCGCGACAAATACGCTCTTACCGGATCCAATGGCACCTTCCTTCCTTTCTCATCTATGCCATACATCGATTTTAAGTCCAATTTCAGACTTTTATCATCTAATTGAATATCGAAAGTCTCAGATTTCTCCCGATCGAATGTCGCTTCTAGAACTCTCGATTTTTCCAGATTTTCAGACGAATCTTGCTCATTTTCCACTGGTTCTTGTCCATTTTTTACATCGATTTCAACTAGGGTTTCTGTGAGAATCGTCCAGGTTTTTTTGTCGACTGCACCAATTCGAATGGATGATTTTCCAGTGTAGATTGGTCTGGAAAAAATGGGAAAGGGTTTAAACAAAAACTTTATAAAGAGTAGACATCTCCGTTTTTTTCAAAGTTTAAAGCTATAATTTTTTGAATTATGATGCTGGAAAATCGCTCATATCTCGAAAACGATGTTAGCTATCAAAAAATTGCTAACTACTTAATTGCTCAGCATAAAATTTTGGTCAACTTCATAGTTTACAACTTTTTTTCAGCTTTTGTAGTTTTTGAGATATGCGCTTTTATGGTGGCTCAGATGCCTTGCCACCCTATCGTGTCTGCGCCTCTTTAAAAGCATATCTCACGAACCAAAAAAAAACTATCAAAAAGTGGTTAATTGCTAAATTGCTCAATATAAGATTTTACATATTTTCATATTTTACAACTTTTCTTCAGCTATCGTAGTGTTTGAGATATGGGCCTTTAAAGTTTGTAGGAGGAGTAGAGGCGCCACTGGAAAGTCATGCTGTCTGCGATCGCTCATATCTCAAGAACTATATAAGCTAACAAAAAGTTGTTTTCTTTTAAATTACTCAGCATAAAATTTTACGTGTTTTTGTAATTTACAACTTTTATTCAGCTACTGTAGTTGCCAAGATATGCGCCTTTAAAGTTTGTGGGCGGAGTTGAGGCGCCTTGCCACCTTATACTGTCTGCGTCTCTTTAAAGGCGCATATCTCAAGAACCAAGAGAGATATCAGAAAAGTTTTAACAACACAATTGATCAGCATACAATTTTACATGTTTTTGTAGTTTACAGCTTTTATCCAGCTACCGTAGTTTTTGACATATGCGCCTTTAAAGAGGCGCAGCCACTCTAAAATGTCTGTGTCTCTTTAAAGGCACATATCTCAAGAACCAAGAAAGCTATCAAGTTAATTAGAAAAATGGGTGAAACTTCCTAATCTTTATTGTGCCAATTTAAAAAATTAATGTATAGTTTATAGTTTTTGAGATTTACGATTTTTGCCTATTTTATATTAGTTTGTCAGCTAGTTGATTTATTTTCTTTATTTTCGTTTTTTTTTCAAATTTTTCTGTGCCCTCCTATTTTTTCCATATTCCACTACCCCAATTTTTCAATTTCCACGTTTCGATCTCCACTCAATGCGAAGCCAATCGATAAAATCAAAATCAGTTCTCAAAAAACCTCTCGTCTCTCTCCTCACTTCTCTCCAAAATGATCATCAAATTTTCCGGGCAATGATATAGAGAGAAAGATCGATTGGAGTAGAAATTGCATCATCAATGTAAGCCCTGTAGAAGAATCTACAGTAATTCAAAAATAGTATTTTCAGACAATATATATATATATATATGTTTGTATCAAAAAAAGCACAAAGGATGGTAAACATGATTTTTCGGCTGACAAGAAGAATTTTTTTATAGTTATTGAACTATTTTTCAATGAAACAATGAATTAGTTCATCAATTTTTTTTTGTTTTTTAAGTGTAAAATTTTATGCTGAGCAATTCATCCGTTAACAACTTTTTAATAGCTTTCTTGGCTTTTGAGATAAGCGCCTTAAAAGAGACGCAGGCACTAGGGCAGCTGCGTTTTCAAAGGCGCATATCTCAAAAACTACGGTAGATAGAAAAAGATGTAAACTACAAAAATATGTAAAATTTTATGCTGAGCAATTTAATAGCTGACAGTTTTTTGATAGCTTTTTTTGTTCTTGAGATATGAGCGTTTGAAAAAGAAAGCATCCAATTTCTCTCGAAAACTATGTTTTTAGCTTGAAAAGTATAGCTAGCTTTTGCCGCGTGATTTTACTCAAAAAATCCTTTTTTTCAGCCTTGTTAAAAAATATTTTTCTCGTGAATCCCCAATCGCCCGGTTATTCAATTAACAAAAAACCCAATTTATCAATTCAAGCCAATCAAAATAGAAATCAGTTCTAATAAATGTTCATCTAAATGTTCATTCATCTCGATTCTCCACTGGATTCTCCTAACTATGTTTTTTCCTTGTTAAGTATGCTTTCAAATTACAAGTGAGTTTGATTTTGAGAAAAAAAAAGATTTTCATTAAAATTTTTTCTGATTTCAGACAATCGCAACTAATCTTCTTCTAAACATTGGAGTTCTGCTTTTGTGTCCTTAAAAAATCGTCACAACCCTTTCTAATTTTTATTGAATAATAAAATAGTTTGAATCTAAATTTTTGTATTTTTCAATTAAATAGGTGTACTATTTTCTAAGTTAATCACCTTTTGTTAGACTTGAATAGATGCAGACAAAAATACAATTTAGTTTCACTATCTTCCACAAAATTTAAAGCGCATATCTCAAAAACTGCGCTAGCTGAAAAAAAAATACAATATTGTGTGAAATTTTATGCTGAGCAATTAACTAGTTAACATTTTTCTGATCGCTTTTTTGCTTTTTGAGACATGCGCCTTTAAAAGAGACGCAGACACTGTAAGGTGGCAAAGCGTCCGGGCATCTTTAAAGGTGCATATCTCAAAAAATACGGTAGCTGGAAAAAAGTTGTAAAGTACAAAACTATGTGAAATTTTATGCTGAGTAATTTACCAGTTGACAACTTTTTGATAGCTTCCTTGGTTCTTGAGATATGAGCAATCGCCGACAACAAGGCCACTTGCCCATCTTGTTATCTATGTCCCCCCGCCTACTTTGAAGAGGCATATCTTGAGAACTACGGTAGCTGGGAAAAAGTTGTAAAGTATGAAAATATGTAAAATCTTCTAATGAGCAATTTAATAGTTAACAATTTTTTGATAGCTTTTGTGGTTCTTGAAATATGAGCGACCGCCACAAACAGGCCGTTTCAGTCGTGCATCTACTCCTCCAGCAAACTTTAAAGGCGCATAGCTAAAAAACTACAGTAGCTGAAAAAAGTTGTAAAATACAAAAATGTGTAAAATTTTAAATTGAGCAATTTAGTAGTTAGCAATTTTCTGATAGCTATCACCGTTGTTGAGATATGAGCGTTCGGAAAAGTTTCCTTTTTTTAAATTTCTAGCTTCAAGACTTGAAATATGTTATCTAATTTTTGCCACGTGGATTTCTATTACTGTGGTTTTTTTTTCGTTTTTAGAAACTTCCCTCAGCAATCCCCACGTGACACCCCAACCCTATTAACCATATTTTCTGAAAAAAAGAGCAGAAAAATCAACATGACTCTCCGAGAATTCCAAAAACTTCTCAATTTGTTTGATCTATAGACTATAACAGATCAAATGTCTCTTCCTACTCTTTCCTAAATTTCAAAAAAATTTGTTTTGAAAAACTGTAAGCTTTTTCAATGGAGCGTACTTTCACTACATCATAAATTTTAAATTTCAGGCTAATACCAAAGAGTCGAAAACAAATAAAATGCGGATGTAACAAATGGATTTTGATCTACTCAATTGCTTCGATTTGAATGGAAAACCATCGATTTTTCTACTTGATTCTTTTGTGCTGAATAAATATATTTTTTGTATTTTTCGTAAAAAAATTCATCTTCAATCTCATAGTTCACTAAATTTCGATCCTTAGCCAGCCGGCTGAGCGGCGGCTGAAAAACGGCTGCCACGTTTTTCATCATCTGCGGCTGGACCATCTAATAAGCACTCACCCATCATACTTCCCGACATTTACTTTTCCACCGTACTCTTCTACAGTAACCCATCCTGGGTTTCCATCCAGAATCATGATTTTCGCCTCATCAATTGGCACGCCTTCCAACTCCACATGCGTCAGCTTGACACCATTTTCAATAGTATTGGCATCAATTTCTAAAGAATATTTGGGTTTTCTGAAGTGAGCATGAGACTGAGAATTCTCCACAAAAACGTCGATCTTTTGATTTGGAGATTCTGGAGAGGAGCCAACGTCTCCTGAATCTTCAAGGGAGATTTGAATGGTGTAGCGGCCGGAAGCAGCTGAGTTGACCACGATGAGCTGGAAGATTGATTTTTGGCATTAAGGCGCATATCTCAGAAACTACGGTAGCTGAAAAAATTGTAAACTACAAAAACAAGTAAAATTTTATGCTGAGCAATTTAATGTAAGCAATTTTTGATAGCTTTCTTGGTTCTTGAGATATGCGCCTTTAAAGAGGTCCAGACTGCGGGGTGGCTAAGCGTCTGGGGATTTTTAAAGATGTATACTTCAAAAAATACGGTAGCTGGAAAAAAGTTTTAAAGTACAAAAATATGTGGAAATTTTATGCTGAGCAATTTAATAGCTGACAGTTTTTTGATAGCTTTTTTTGTTCTTGAGATAGGAGCAATCGTCGAAACCAGGGCATTTCAGTGACGCCTCTTCTCCGACTCCAAAATTTAAAGGCGCATACCTCGAATACTACGGTAGCTAGAAAAAAGTTGTGTAGAGCAAAAATGTGTAAAATTTTATGCTTAGCAATTTAATAGTTAACAACTTTCTGAAAGCTTTCTTGTTACTTGACATATGCGCCTTTAAAGAGGTGAAGACTGCGGGGTGGCTAGGCGTCTGGGGATTTTTAAAGATGTATACTTCAAAAAATACGGTAGCTGGAAAAAAGCTAGAGGCTAGAGGCTAGAGGCAAGAGGCTTCTAATGCCCTGAGGCAGGGTGTAATACTTTCCAACAAGTATATCGCAAGAGACAAAAACGATATCAAAAAATTGTCAACTAACGAAATATGTAAAATGCTATGCTGAGTAATTTCATAGTTAACAAATTTTTGATAGCGCATTTGGTTCTCGAGATATAGCAGTTTGTCGACAACAGGATATTTCAGTAGCGCCTCTACTCCGCCCCCAAATTTAAAAAACGGATATCTCGAAAAGTACTGTAGTTTCAAAAAAGTTGTCAACTACAAAAATATGCAAAATTTTATGTTGCATATTTTTGTAGTTTACAAAATTTTGATAGCGCTTTTTGTTCTTGAGACATGCGCCTTTAAAGAGATGCAGACACTATACGGTGTGAGGCGTCTGGGACCCAGTTGTCGGCAACAAGCCACAAGCTCGAGGTCTGAGCTCAAGCTCAAAAGCAAGCTCAATATCAAGCTCAAGATCTTCAGCTCAATCTCTCTCACCTGATACAAGCCCTCCTGAGCCTTCAAAAATCCCAAAAACTTTGTGGCATCTCCGTCCAACTTGATATTCTTCCTCGTTCTCTCCGTTATCACAGCAAACGGACTGATAATTCGATTATCAGAGATTCTGATGACCTTATCAGAAGTCCGAAGACTGGCTTGTTGTTGGACTAGAATCGTCACTTGAACTGGTGCTAATTCTCCATTTTTCGGCATCAAAATCAGTGAAAATGTTTTTTGCGCATCGTCTTGGAGACATTTTTCAGTGTCGAATTGACCGCAAGATAGGATTAAATCATTTCCAACCAAGGAGAATCTGAAAAATTAGAAATGGAATAAAATATAAAAATTAAAATTGTCTGGAATTTCCTTCAGCTTCAAATCAATATAATCAAAAGTGACCTAGAAACTCAAAATTAATTTTTTCTAGTCTATCAACTTTGAGCTCAATTATCTCGGTTTCTATGAGAGACATCAGAAAGAATTCTATTGATAAAATTGGTATTACCTTATCAGCAAAGTATTATCAGTTGATCACTTTTTGATATCTTTCCCAGGAAAAGAGATATGCAAGATCAAAGTTGAGAGCCCTAAATTCTACATGGAAACTCAAAGTTCTTTTTTTTTTGTTCATCAACTTTGAGCCCATATATCTCGATTCCTGTAGAAAATATCAAAAGATTGTCAACTAATAAAACATTTATCAAAATATCAGCAACATTTTATCAGTTGACCACATTTTGATGTCTTTCACAGGAACCGAGATATATAGCCTCAAAGTTGAGAGTTTTAAATTCTACATGGAAACTCAAAATTCTTTTTTTTTCGTTTATCAACTTTGAGCCCCTATATCTCGCTTTCTGTGAATGGTATCAAGAATGTGAGTACTGATAAAATGGTTATCAAAATATCAGCAACATTTTATCAGTTGACCACTCTTTGATGTCTTTCACTGGAACCGAGATATATAGTCTGAAAGTCGCTGGTTAGGGTGGCCTCCTTCTAGAGAAGTGGGATACGGTAGTCCCTGAATTTCTGCACTATCCACTGTGGCCTACAAACCCATATTTCATGTTTTCTAGTCCACCAACCTTCTATTCCCATTTCCTCCAATAATCTTCAAATCGCCATCCACTTGTCCAATGGTCCGTCCCGACTCCGCGGATTCCATAACTCCAAATTCGACTTCTCTCAACGATAGCATATCAGAGCCCTCCGAAGATTCAGAAGTCGTCTCGAAATTCAATTGGAACGGTGACCGAATCGATGAGTTAGCAAAACGAGCGACAACTTCAAGCTTCTGAATTCTGACGTCTCCTATTTCAGGAATATTCTGAAGGAAGAGAGCAGTCTCTTCTCCAGATAAAATCGAAGCTGGTCGGATTTCTAAAATGCCTTCTGGCTCGATAGAAAGTTGAATTTCCTGTCCCTCGACTCCTTGGAAGTCTACATTGACTCCTCTGATGACGTCGCCAGGTCTCGCGCCACGTGGAATCTGAATAGTGTCTTCTGGAGCGCCACGGAGATTCAGATGGACGTTCTCAATTGGTTGGATTTCTCCATCTGGGGAAGTTCTGAGTGGAAGGATGGTGATAGGACCGGTGATGGGATCCTCTTGTGATTCTGGTAGTTCTCCTGATGATTCCTCGGCTGATCCTTCTCCAGAAGCATCCTGGCTTTCTGAATCCAAAACTTCCACTTCTTCCTTCTCTTCTTCTGCGGTGGGCGTAGAAACTGGCGTTGTAAGATCGTCGTCAGATCCTCCGATGGTGAGAACGTCATCTGGAGATGTGGCAGAAGTCGTGAGCGATTCTTGAGATTCTGGAGCTCCAGAAGAAGCTGAAGATTCTGTAGAAGATTCTGGAGAAATGGATGATTCAGAAGTTTCAGGGGCTTCTTCAGAAGTATCTGGGGATTCTGAAGACGGTCCTCCTAGTGTCAGAACATCAGATTCCGAACTCTCTGTAGAATCTCCCGAATTCACCGTCGTCGTCGCTTCTGCCTTCACAGCTTCAGTTGCCATCTTCGGCTCACTTGGTACCGTAACCCTGACTCTTTTCGTCGTCGGTGCCAAACTTATCACATCCACAGAAATATTGGTCGTTGCCAGGACAACATCTCCTTGCTGCGCTTCGACTACAAATTTATAGAGACCTCCTTCGGTTTTCGAAATTTCCACGTTGGCATTTGGTCGGAGGATTACTGTAGCCTTGTAAACATCTGCATTGTCGGCGCGAGTCTTTTCAATGTTTCCAATATCGAACCATTCATTTTCGTCAAAATTCACAATGAAGGTTGGCTTTACATTGTGCTTTCGGGTGATGAAATCGACGACTGCGAGGATTGTGGAGTTCTGAAAAGTTGAGAATTGAGTTTCTCGCGTTAAGAGCTTCAAAAGGAGGATAAACATGCCTAGGCTCCGCCTCTTCTGATATTTCACTTTAAAGGCGCATAGGGGTCCGAATTTTTCAAAGTGGGCGGATCTTAATCATGATTATACTCATTTTGAAGCGCGTATGATGAGAAATCGATATGTTAAACTTTCGTTAAGTTTGAAGCAAAACTGGCTGGGTTACGGTAGTTTTTGTAGTTCAACACAGTCAAGAGCTCACCTCATTATTCCCCTCTGGCAACATGAAATCATAGGACGGCTGATCGAACTTGTCTGGAATTGACGTGGCGTCTCCAACAACTTCTGAGGACGAATCCGACGATTTTGATGGCGTTTCGTCACGACGGACCACGAACTGAAATTAGAAAATTTATATAATTCAAGTATTGAGCTCAATTATTTTGGTTATTTAGAAAAATATCAAAAAGTGGTCAACTGATAAAATGTTTATCATAATATCAACAATATTTCATAAATTCACAAATATTTGATATCTTTTACAGTAACCGAGATAATTGAGCTCAAAGAGAGGTATCGAAAGGTGGTAAACCGCTATTGCTTCCATAGAACGTTCACTTTGAGCTCAATCATCTCGGCTATTTTAAGAGATATCAAAAATCTGTTAACTAATAAAATGTTTATCATAACATGATCCATATTTTATCAGTTAGCAATTTTTTCATATCTCAGACAGTAACCGAGATAATTGAGCTCAAAGTTGGTGGTTAGGCTAAGGAGAAAATAAAGTATTCAGAATTTGGAAAATTCACATTATTTTGCAAATTCCATCTTTTTCAAATCTATCCAATTCTCAAAAAATTCGAAATTTCACAAAAAATTTCATTGTTAACCTTATCCGAAGAGAGTCTCTCCAAATTCTTATCATCCTTCTCCAAATGCACAGATCTTCGAATATCCGAGTGCTCGTGAGAGTTCATTATGAACTCCAGCGGGATGTCATGTCGTTTTTGGACGTGTTTTAGCTGAAAATACATTTTTAGAGGTCCATGGATCAAAAAAGAATCTGAAAACTCACCGAATGAACATGAAATTCGCTTGCCAGAATTGTGGAGAATAGGATGAAAATGAGAGATATTTCTCTCATTTTGGAGATTTTTGAGCTCTGAAAATTTTCAGAATTTTGAGAGGAACTTGAGGATCTAAAGATAAAAAACACAAAAATTTTAACCCAATCAAAAAAGAAAAAAGGGACGAAAAAGGTGTGTGTGTGTGTGTGTGTGTGTTCCGCGAGAGAATGTCCTTGAATGCCTGGCGCCTGAAGATTGACCTAATTTACTGGTGGTTATCATTTGGCGCAATCTTGTCGAACAAAAAAAGGTATCCGTTTTTTGTCTTATGTTGATAAAGAACAGATAAAGAAAAAGATACTTGACCCTAATTAGAGAGGTTCACAGAAGTGATAAAAGATAGTTGATAACTAGTAAAACTTGTCAAACACCTGTAACTTTGAGCCGTTTTATCTCGTTCCGGCTAAAGATATAAAAAATTTGTCAACTGATAAATTGTTCATAATATCAGCAAGATTTTATCAGTTGACACAATTTTTATATATCTGATGGGAACTGAGATAAATGAGTTCAAAGTTGAAAGTGTGGGGGCCCGTCTATTAAAGATTTATAGGTTACGGTATCAAAGAGGGGAAATGTCAATCAGATTTGTCTCACTATCAGTTTTTGAAAAAAACAACCTAAAAGTAGTCAACTGGTGAAATATCTGAAATTTAATGAAAAATGTTTAAGAGAACGTTCTAATGCCTCAATTAGTTCCCTAGATACACGAGGCACATACAAAGAAAATTTAATAGCTTTCAACTTTGTGCCTATATGTCTTGGTTCCTGTGAAAGATATCAAAAGACCGTCAACTGATAAAGTGTTCACCATAATATCAGCAGCATTTTATCAGTTGACCACTTTTTGATATCTTTTACAGGAGTCGAGATAAATCAACTCAAAGTGCAGAGCAGAGGTATCATATACCGCTAATGCTTTGATAGAACGTTCAGTTTAAGCTAATTTTTCTCGGCTCCTGTCAAAGATATCAAAAGGTTGTCAATTGATAAAATGTTCATCATAATATCAGCAACAGTTTGTTAGTTGACAACTTGTTGCTATTTTTTACAGGAACTGAGATAAATGAGCTCAAAGTGTAGAATCTAGAAGACGGTTCACAAAACTGTCTTTGATAAAAATCAGTTTTCGGATATTCAGAAATTCAAAGTTTCTCTTTTTTTTTCTGAAATTCAAATATCTACGTTTTTCCGAAAATATTGAGACAAACACATAATTTTGAATTTGTGATTTTTTGATCTACTTTTGATTTTTCAGATTTTTCGGATTTTTTCTGAAATTGCTTTTCAAAAGAAAAAAGACAAAAACCAATTTATTTAAATCGATTTTTACACATAATGTCATATTAAGTTCAATGACGATATAAGATATTTGATGGTTGACAATACTAATTTCATAATTTCCAACAACTGCTAGGGACCATTCTTGAAAAAGTCGATGAATCCGAGATTCGCTGGATTTTCACGGACTGAAAATAATTCTGAATTTTGGGGATTTCGAGAATTTTCTAGTAAGCTTACTGTTGAATCGTTACGCTTGATGGACCATTTCGAAGATTGGTGTCACAGAGAGGAGAATTTAGAGAAAGATTGATTTTTTGACGGTTTCGTGGCTATTTATGGGGAAAAGTTGGGGGAAAAAACAAGGTTTTGGGGTTTTCAGAATGTCACGAGGATACGAAATTCTGGAAAAAAAATCGTGAAAAAATTGGAATTATTCTAGTTGGACTCGGTCATTTTCTTGTCAATTTTGGCGTCAAATTTTCTAGGTGAGAAAGTGCGCTCTATTGAGAATCTAGTGGAAATTCAAACATGCTCTACTGGCAAGTTGAGAACCCGCTCTGCCGAACTGTTCATAGTGCTCTATAGAACCAATACTGATGAAAATACAGCAAACACGCTCTATCGATCATCTCGAAATGGAAGTTCAAATAATGGTAGAAAAGAAATGCGCTCTATTGAAAGTCTAGTAAAACAGCCAGTATGCTCTACTGAACATTGCAAATACGCTCCACCGAAATTCAAATGTAAACGCGCTTTCCTGAGCTAATTTTAATAAAATACAGCAAATACGCTCTACCGAACTTTCTAAGGGAAAGGCGCTCTATAGCGGCAGTGCAGCAAATACGGTCTTCCGAACTCTCCAATCAAAATGCGCTCTACCGAGCTATTCTGATTAGTTTTGAGAAAATACCACAAATACGCTCTGCCGAACGTTCTAAGCGAAAATTCGCTCTATAGAAAAAATACAGCGAACACCCTCTGTCGAACTTTCTAAACGAAAACGCGCTCTATAGAGAAAATACAGCAAACATGCTCTACCGAACTTCAAATGTAAACGTGCTCTTATGAGCTAGTTTTAATAAAATACAGCGAACACGCTCTGTCGAACTTTTTAAACGAAAATGCGTTCTGTAGAGAAAATACAGCAAACATGCTCTACCGAACTTTTTGAATGGAAATGCGCTCTATAGAGAAAATGCAGCAAATACGCTCTATCGAACTTTCCGAGTGAAAATGCGCTCCACCGAACTTTTTTTCTAGAATGGAAGTCCAAAAAACGCAATCTCTACCTCAACAACAAAACCCAATTATCCCAGAACGTGGCCACGATAAAGTGGATGGTCTGCTAGATGAAGATTGGGAAACCGATGAGGAGAGGGAAAAGAAAAAACAGAGGAAATTGAAAAAATTGGAAGATGCCAAATTTCATATGGTAGACGAGTTGGAAAAATTGGAAAAATCCCGAATGAAAACTGCCGAGGAGGCTGAAAAAACGGCGAAGGAGGAGGAGGAGGCAGATGATGTGAATTATAAGGTAGGGTGTCCAATGGAGCGCATTTGCATTTTTTTTTTGTTTTTCTAGGAAGTGATTGACCCAATAATTGAAGAAATGAATCGAAAACAGGAGGAGAAGAAGAGAAAAAAGAGTAAAATTAGATCAACAGAGGAGCCTTCAGTGACTACAGTAATCCCAAAAAAGTGTGCCAAAGTCTACAATAGTAAATTTGGAGAAAAAAGAGGAGCACGTTTTTGTTGAGAATTTCCATAATCAATCGGTCGAGACTCATTCTGGACCAATTTCTGGTAGAGGGTTGCTTTTTTGGCGCGAAATTTGAAATTTGAAAAAAAGTTATTTTAGATCAAAATTCTTTTCTAATTCCTACAAAGAAGCCAATGCAACCATCAACTGATATGAAGAAAAAGAAGAATACAGGATGCTGTGGGATTTTGTGAACTACTGAAAATATCGATTTTTTGAATACTGCGAAAATAAAGATGAATTCTCAACAGAGCGAGCTTGCAGATTCTAATTTTTCGAAAAAAAAGGAAAAAAAGGAAAAAAAGGAAATAAATGAAGCGAGGGTGTACGAACCTAGTGAGAGACGCAGAGAAAAAGGTTTTGATTACTGCGACGCGCGAAAATTTCTTTTCGCAGTGACGTCATCCGGAAGAATAATGTTTCGAAAATTAATGAATTCTCAATAGAGCGAATTTGCAGATTTCCAAAAATAGATGTATTCACATTGGAGCGAAATAGCAGATTTTTAAAATTTCGAAAATTCAAATAATTGTCAATGGAGCGAGCTTGCATATATTCGGAAATGAAAAAGAAAGATGAATTGCCGATGGAGCGAGTTTGCAGATTCTCGAAAATATGTGACTTCTCAATGGAGCGAGTTTTCAGATTTTCAAATTTCAGAAAACCGCGATTCTCAATAGAGCAAGTTCGCCTATTTTCAAATTTTTAAAAAAGTGACAACTTCTCAATGGAGCGAGTTTTCAGAATTTGCAAATTTTGAACATTTAAAATTCGTTAATTTTCAATTCGTTGTGAAAATTCTGGGGAATGACAATTGAGCGACGTTTTGTTGATTTTCTGAAATTTTAAAAATCACAGTTCTAGAGGAATAGGCTCCGCCCATTTTCAGACAAAAATCGATATTTTAAACTTTCAAAAATATTCACTTTTCTAGAGAAATAAATCTATACAAAACAAAAATCAATAAAGAATTAAGTCTTCTTCTCCGGCACGACAGCTCGATAAATTTTCTTAAAAATCGATTCCTTTGGTTTCAGTCCCATTTGTTTTCGATTCTCCTCCGACGACGCCGCTTGAAGATCGGCCAAACGCATTCCAAAAACTCCAGATGTATACGAATTCGGATGTTTGTTCATGACTTCGTTGTTTAGTAGTTGGTCCAGCGCTGCCAGTCGTTTTTCGCAAACTGCGGTGGAGAATGGCTGGCCGGGTTGGAATTGACGCTCGATTTCTTTGGTGAGGAAGTTGGCAAAGTCTCTGAAATAGTCGCTCTATTGAGAATTGGTGCTGATTTGGCGGGAATTTGAAATTTTAGCATAGCGCGCTCTATTGCACATTAAGCAGAATTTTAATTTTCGAAAAAGTCAAAATTTCTGAAAATTTCCAAAAAATCATTTTGAAAAAGTCAATTTTTTAAATTCGAAACATTGCAATTTTTTCTTCAGCAGAAAATTCAAATTCTCCGCTCCCTGTAACCGCGCTCTATTGACAAAACTAACCTCTCCGGTGCCTTATTCGCGTCTCGTGGCCATTTCGCCGCTATCCGAACGTACTGTTTGTAGAGGTGTTTGGACATAGCTCTGGAATAATTTTCAGTACTTTTGAAAACGTGCTTCTATTGAGAAATCGTCATTCTGAGCTTTTTTAGAAAGTACGCTCTACTGAGAAATTGTTAATAGAGTGAGTTTTTAGCGCGATTTTTGAGACAGAAATAAATGAAAATTGGGAGTTGAGAACCCGGAAAATTGACAAAATTCAATATTTTCAAAATATCGATTTTTTTGAAAAACTTGTCAAAATGAAATCGGTCAACAACAAGAAAATTCTGAAATTTCAGACGGAAAATACAGTTTTTCAGAAAAAAGGAACGCGAATAAAATGATGAAAATGAGTCAACAATAACAAACATGAGCAATCTGATTTCTCAAAAATCAAAAAATTGAAGAACAAAAAATTAATGATCCGGTTCATCGTCACTATCCAAAGCAACCGCTATTATTCTCGCTTCCGTCTCCAGAATCTCCAAATCCCATCCGACGTCTTCTTTTTGAATTCCCTCCGTTTCCATTTCCTTCAGAATCGTCTTCAGCACGTCTTCAGGAACACTTTGAATCCAGAAAATGTAGTCCGTGATGAAAAGATCGTTGAGGATATAACGAAACTCTCCGGATTCGATGAAAATTCGATGGATGTCACAGAGGATGTGCAGAAGGGCGGTACGATCGGATTTGATGACGTGGCAGACGTCGTTAATGATTTGAGAGGATAGGGAGAAGTTACGGTAGAGTGGATAGGTCAAGGAGCGGCGGATCGAGGAGATGAGGCACTGAAATTTTAAAAAATTGATTTTTTTTTCAAAAATTAAAAAATTCTAATCCTAAGCCTCAGTAAATTACCGCTTTGACACTTCCAAACTTGACGAAATAGCTCAAACTGGGTGATAATTTGGAGCAGGTCCATCCCGATTCACAGTTTGTCTCCCATTGATTGACACGTTGATCATAACAGTATGCATAGAGAATATCTACCAATGACGTGGCAATTTCCAGATCGGAAGCCCAGATTTTTTGAATTTTCGTTTTTCGGAGATCCTTCAGGCGCACACGATCCTCATCTGTGAGATCTAGTGGAAGGGAGAATGGAGAGGCGATGATGGAGAGAAGATCCTGTTCGGGTTCCAGGGTATCGGCTCTGGAAAAGTGGAAAAATAAGACCTAATTATTTAGCAGACCCAAGTCGTGTTGGTCTGCTAATGTTTTGGGCATGCGACAACACTAACAGACACACGAGGCGCAGAGAAAATTCGCCTAAAGCATTAGCAGACCACTTTTCTTTGCGTCTCATGGGTCTGCTAATGTTTTGAGCGCGAAAACATTAGCAGACCCAAGCCACGTTGGTCTGCTAATGTTTTGGGCATGCGACAACACTAGCAGATCCACAAGACGCAGAGAAAAAAGCGCTGAAAACATTAGCAGACCAACTGTTCTCTGCGTCTCGTGGGCCTGCTAATGTTGTCGCAAGTCAAAAACATTAGCAGAGCCACGAGACACAGAGAAAAAGTGGTCTGCTAATGTTTTCAGCGTTTTTTCTCTGCGTCTCATGGGTCTGCTAATGTTTTGGTCATGCGACAACACTAGCAGGCCCAAGTCTTGCTGGTCTGATAATGTTTTGGGTTTGCGACAACGCTAGCAGACCCACGAGACGCAGAGAAAAAGAAGTCAAAAACATTAGCAGACCACTTTTCTCTGGAATTCGAGAACTCACAAATAGCGTCCCTCATCGAACGCCTCTAAATCCACCTTGCTCATCTCCTCAACTCTCTTCTCAATCTCCACGTCTTCTGGATTCTGAATGTCCACAATCTTCCCAATCTCCGCACGAAGTCTCTCGATCACTCCGATCTTTGTCCAACCAAATCCATATCCATGATTTTTGAGAAAATCGTCGGTTTGAGGGCATTCTGGCTCTGGAACCTCTTGATCTATGAGAAATTCGTTGCCTTCTGGATCCTCCTCCACGTCTTCTGGATCCACGTCTTCTGAATCCACGTCTTCTAATTCCTCCACCATTGCCCTTCCATGAGGTTCTAGCGTCGGATTCAGAAGCTCTGTGATCATGTCCAAATTCGTAAATTGCTCATTTTTATGAACCTTAGGGATTCTTATATGAAATTCTCCTTCTTCAGACTTCCACTCAACTTTGCCATTCCCACTACCGTACTCCTCAACCATTTGTTTGAATTGGAGTCTAGAAAAGGCGAGAAAAAAAAATTAACAATCGATTATCGATTAATTAGGTCACCTCAAAAAGTACGGTGGACATGTGAAGACAAACATGAAACCGCCATGATCATAGTCCAGCTCGGCGAGATTACCATGCGGTGCTCGGATTCTGATAAGGAGACTTGTGTCGTCCTGGGTGATCCAGAACACTGGGGTGAGCATTTGATCGGTCTGAAATAGTCTGAAATTGGTCTGAAATAGGCTTAAAATAGTCCAAAATAGGTTTAAAATTGGCCTGAAATTGTGTCTAAATCCGCCTAAATTGGTCTAAAATTGGCATAAGCCTAAAAATGGCTCAAAAAATAGAGTTTTGAACGATTTGAAGCCTATTTTTGAGTTATTTCAGCCGGTTTGGGCGACTTTCAGTCTATTTTGGACGATTTTAAGCCTATTTTTAGACCTTGTTAGCATAGTTTTTCGTCATTTTAAACTTTTTTAAAACTATTTCTAGCTTATTCTAAGTTTATTTTGGTCGATTTCAAGCTTGATTTTAGACCTTTTAAGCCTATTTTTGAGCTATTTTCAATCTGTCTGGGACCATTTTAAGCCTATTTTTTAGCCATTTTCAGCCTATCTGGGACCATTTCAAATCTATTTTGGTCGATTTCAAGCTTTCTTCTAGACCTTTTAAGCCATTTTTTGAGCCATTTTCAGCCTTTTTTTGAAGAACTTAATCCTCTTTTTGAAGGATTTCAAGTCTGTTTTTAAACGTTTCAAGCGTATTTTTCATATTTTTAAGCCTATTTTTGAGGATATTCTCTTTATGGACCATTTTCAGCTTTTTTGGATCATTTTAAGCCTATTTTTGAGCCATTTCAGCCGCTTTGGACGACATTCGCTTTGGACGACATTCAAAAGTAGGGTGGAGAAAAAAAGATATGAAAAATGAAGAAATTTTTACCTCAAAAACGAATAAAAATTGAAAAATTACACAGGATATACATTTATTTATTCATCAGAACCGAAAGAAGCGAAATTCAAAATTGGTGAAAATATAGCGAATAAGACATTCAAAAAATCACAGAATATACATTTATTTAGAAATCACCGAAAGTGCCGAAACTCAAGATCAGATCCCTCCAGGCTTGTCTTGGCAACACAATCCTCTCCATTTTTCCGATATCCTCCACATTCTGATGCTCACACAAGGCATGAAGAAAGTTTGCCACGTAGACACCGCAATCCTTGCCATTCTCCTGTTGGAGACACTTCACGGCGATCAATTTGCGGGTGCCGTCTTCTTGGCCAACGAGCCATCTCGACTTTTCCATGAGCGCTTCGGCGGCGGCGTGGTTGTAGTTGTTGGCGGAGTCGAAGTGATAGAAGTCGTCGGTTTTGCGGTCGAAGACGAGAAGAGACCAGTGGGAGCCACCGTTGGCGCGGGTGACGTCTTCATTGTTGTTCACGATGAAGGCGACCTGGAAATTGCGCAATTTTTACGGGTTCCTAGACTATTTTGAGACGTTTTAAGCTGATTTTTCCATAGTTGCAAACGGGCCGGCCCGCGCAGAACAAGATATTTCGACGGATTTGATATCAAATGATAGATCTCGACGAGG